CAGCAAATTCTGGAGCACAAGTCTTCAGTACTATTGATGGAACGTTGTCAGGGACTTAGCCTTTGCAATATTTGCTTCGGCCTTTTGCACTAATGTGTTGGGCTCTTCCACCATTGAGGATGGGGATATTTGTGATGCCTTCTCCTCCAGGGAGTTAATTGTCTATCCCATTCACAACTAAAAGTAGCAGGACTGCAGAGCTTAGATCGGATCTGTTTTTTGGGATATTGCTTAGCTTTGTCTATCACTGGCTGCTTATGCTGCATGGCATGCAAGTAGCCCTATTTGGCAACTTCACAAGGTTGACATCTAATTTTTAGGTATATCTGGTGCTGCATCTGGCATGCCCTCCTGCACACTCCATTGAACCAGGGTTGATCCCCTGGCTGACATAATGTTGAGTGGGGGTATGCCAGGCCATGAGGTTGTAGATTGTGTTGAAGTACAATTCTGCTGCTGCTGTTAGCCTACAGTGCTTCATGGACGCCCAGTAGAGTTGCTAGCTCTGTTCAAAGTCTGAGATAACAAGGTGTAGAGCTGGATGAACACAGCAGGCCAAGCAGCATCAGAGGAGCAGGAAGGCTGACGTTTCGGGCCTAGACACTTCTTCAGAAATGGGAGAGGGGGAGGGGAAGGGGGATCTGAAATAAATAGGGAGCGAGGGGGAGGCGGATAGAAGATGGACAGAGGAGAAGATAGGTGGAGAGGAGACAGACCGGTCGAAGATGCGGGGATGGAGCCAGTAAAAGTGAGTGTAGTTGGGGAGGTAGGGAGGAGATAGGTCAGTCCAGGGAGGACAGACAGGTCAAGGGGGCGGGATGAGGTTAGTAGGTAGGAAACGGGGGTGCGGCTTGAAGTGGGAGGAGGGGGATAGGTGGGAGGAAGGGCAGGTTAGGGAGATGGGGACGAGCTGGGCTGGTTTTGGGATGCAGTAGGGGGAGGGGAGATTTTGAAGCTTGTGAAGTCCACATTGATACCATTGGGCTGCAGGGTTCCCAAGCGGAATATGGGTTGCTGTTCCTGCAACCTTCGGGTAGCATCGTTGTGGCTTCTCCCCTCCCCCTACCGCATCCCAAAACCAGCCCAGCTCGTCCCCACCTCCCTAACCTG